ATAATATTATTGAACTTTAACGATATCTGCAATGCATTTGTTGGTTCTGTTCTGTTTACCCTGGGGGGGTTATCACTGCTCTCCCTGCTCTCATCCATGCTAGGCTGCATGGATGCGCAGGGAGTTCTTGCCCAGAACAGAACCATACCGCCAATCCAAACTGTATGCTAATTGTCAATCATCTTTGACGATAGTGGTCCTGACAGAAGTGTGCTGTTTGAGTTCACTTTTTGATGCTTGAGTTAATTATATTGTGTGTTTGTGTTTTCTGAATGAGAACATGGTTAAACCTGTGCAAAATTATGGCGTTTTTGTGTAGAGTTTTGCAGAAAACACTGAACAAATTGGAACGTGTGTGCACACAGGTGAAATGTGTTAAAAGTTTTGAGAAACGTGTCTTTGTTTCGAGAACTATATGAATGGTTTGGAAAATTGGGCCAAATGAATCAGTTATAGTGTGTTAGCAATCGAGAAAAACTGTAATAATGAGAAATGAAAATCAGGTTTAACAAGTGGGTCACTGTGTTACTAGCTGCAGCCGGCTGATTCTGGGACTTGCTCTCCAGGAAAGGAGAAAGGAGGTATTTTGACTGAACAGGCCAACCAAAAGAGCTGTGTGTGTGCATGTGTGGTTCAGGTATACCCTATGCTAGGGGGACAAAATGCCCCCACAATGATGGTAATATCCAAAATCCTCGACCTTGTGGGGACTTTTTTCGGCCCCCATGAGGAAAACGGCTTAAAAATCATACAGAATTATCTTTTTTGAAAATAGGTTTAGGGGTAGGGTTAGAGTAAGGGGATAGAAAATACAGTTTGCACAGTAAAAGAAAATCATTACGTCTATGGAACGTCCCCATAAAGCATGGAAACCCAATATGTGTGTGTGTGTGTGTCTGTGTGTGTGTGTGTGTGTGTGTGTGTATATTTTGGGGACAAATTTGTATCCAAAAGTGAGCAAAACAAAAATCGCCAAAAACCTCCATTTGGGGACATCCTGGCCAACTGGTATAAAAATAAAGAAAACAAAGATTTTTTGAAATTGTAAAAATGCAGAAAGTTTTCTGTGTGGGGTAGGGTTAGGGGTGGGTTTAGGTTAAAAAGTGTACAACTATCTGTATATAAAAACAATAGAAGTCTATGTAATGTCCCCATTTAGATAGTTAAGTAAAGTGTGTGTGTGTGTGTGTGTGTGTGTGTGTGTGTGTGTGTGTCTGTGTGTTTGTGTGTGTGTGTTAGTACATGATGAGATGCTGTGCGCAGGGTGGAGACGGGGCAGATTCAGGGTCTGTGTTGAAGCGTTGGCTCTGGCTGAGGCTGGAGCAGCGTGGGGAGGGCAGGGGGCTGTTGTCATCTGTGATGTGCTGGATGAGTCGACTGGGCCCCGGGCTCTGCTGGAGATCACTGCTACAGTCACCCTCTGCCAGCCTACAGTCTGAACACAAACACACACAAACAGAGATCAGAGTCCTGCGCTGGGATAAAAGCAGTGTGTCCTACTGTTGCTAACCCTCAGATTACAATTCAAACCGAGCACTTCATCTGGAAAAGACATACGATTTTCTCACAGTTGCCTGATATCCAATCTGACCCATTTCAAATACTAGACTAGTAATACTAGTAAAATTCTCTGAAGAAAATGTGAGTGGTGCTTGCTGTGCAAAACCTGCCAGCATGATTCCAGAATATTGTGTGTGATTGCTAATGTGTTATATATGGTGAGTGATTGTCAGAGAGTTTATATGTGGTTGCTAAGATGTTATGGAATGTCGCTCAGGAGTTGCTATGCAGGTGCCTATTTGTTTTAAGTGATAGGCTACTGTGTTACTGTGTTGCTATGCAGTTTCAAAGGTGTGCTAGGGAGTTGCCATAGATATGTATAGGTAGATTCCCCATTCGACTAGCACGTAGACGCGTCCGCCATCTTTAACGGTCAACTTGGCGTCATTCACAATAATAATCAATGAATATTCGAAGATGCCACAATCCTGCACATCCGATGGTTGTAAAAACCGTCGGGATAATAAATTCCTGAAGAAACGGGATAACCTTTCACAGGTGAGAATGTGTTGGTTTGCGCGTAGACGCGTCCGCCATCTTTAACGGTCAACTTGGCGTCATTCACAATAATAATCAATGAATATTCGAAGATGCCACAATCCTGCACATCCGATGGTTGTAAAAACCGTCGGGATAAACCATAATAATCAATGAATATTCGAAGATGCCACAATCCTGCACATCCGATGGTTGTAAAAACCGTCGGGATAATAAAATCCTGAAGAAACGGGATAACCTTTCACAGGTGAGAATGTGTTGGTTTGCGCTTTTAAATGTATTAACTCAATATTACAAGTTTTGAAACATTGGTAACTTTTAATGTTGTGTTAGCTAATGCGCTCATCTTGTTGTATGGTGTTAGTTAGGTCTACACAACAAAAACATTGAGCTCTCTCGGCCACCATACTCGAGGATTCGCAGACCATTGACTGTTATGGTGAATGACGTCAAGTTGACCCTTCAAATATGGCGGACGCCTTAGGTATAGCGGCCCATGGAAACAGACGCTAATGAGGCATCTACATATACATATCTATGGGAAGTTGCTATGTGGTTAGTAATGTCTTCTGAGTGGAATGTGTTGCTGTAGATTTGCTAGGTTGTTGTGGGTGGTTGCCAGGATGTTTATAACTTGTTGCTAAGATGTTCTGAGTGGTTGTTATTGTGTTTCTGTGTGGTTTCAATTGTGTTTTGGGGTTCTAGGGAGTTGAAATACAGTTGCTAATGTTATTTTTATGTCACTATGCAGTTGCTGGGATGTTGTGGGTGGTTGCCAAGTGTTTTACATTTTATGCAGTTGCTAAGATGTTCTGAATGGGTTGTTACAGTGTTGCTATGCACTTGCTATGTACGTGTTATGGGCTGTTGCCAGGGTGTTGCTATGTGGTTGCTTAAGTGTCCTGAGGGGTTGTTATTGCATTCGTATAAGGTTTCTAGGGTGTGCTTCAGTCAGCTCTCTAGTTCATTAGTAAGTACACTACCAAGGCAGTAAACCATTCCTAAGTCTGTTCCAGTGTCAATGTCAATGAACTGTTTCTAGTGCAATGAAATGTTTGTTTCTTTAAAATGAGCATAATAACCAGATGGGTGGTTGGATTAGGCCTGTCACAAAAACCCTATGATATTCAGTTTTTTTAGATAAAGTTTGAGGCTCTATGGAACTGTTTAACCTCTTTTTAGTTGTCTACAATGTAAATCTGATTTGTTAGAAAAGTAATAGCACACCTGTCCTCAACAAGATGCATGATTTGAGGTATCATTTCATAGCATGAACAACGTAGGACAAGTTTAAAACTTACCATTAGGGGATTGTTTTAAATTCATGTATTTAAAAATTGTATTTCCAGTTTTGGAAGTGTCTAAAACGATTTTACACATATGTACAAGTCATTGGTGTTTGGTGATGAGTTTTTGGCTCAAGGTCTGCATTTAAAGTCACACCAGAGGTGTTCAGCTGGGATTAGGACTTTGCTTTCTGCAGACCAGTCAAATTCTTCCACACTGACTGAATCAATCTTTTGTTTTGTTTTTTAACCTTGCCTTATACACAGAGGCACATACAGCATACAATGTTAAAAATGTTCTACATTATGAACCTTAACCCAAAAACCTTCAGCTTTCCTGCCTTTGGAAACCCAGCTAAAGTATTTTTTTAAAAACGGGATGAGTAATTCACTACTTGATTTGCTTAATAAAAGCCTCCTTTATCTTTGGATTTGAGACTTTAGTCTTTGCAACTTTACAGATCTTCTTTATGCACCAAGAGCTTGTAACACTTCAAAGAGAAAGGAAAAATTGAAATTGCATCATATGACCCCTTTAATAAAGCAAATTCACCATTCTGACTCAAGCAAACTTCATCATTCCACACTTTTCAAAAAAGAACAATAGCAGACACAAATGAAAACAAAGATGCAAAGAGACAGCGAAAATGAACAGAGTGAACAAATGACAAACTGCTCAGCTTCACACACACACACACACACACACACCTGAGTCACTCTCTGACCCATTGAAATCAAGACAATGCAAACACTGAGGCATATAATTATTGTGAACCAAAAAATAAAAATAAAGTTAAGCAGTGGCTTCAGTAGTTCAGTTAAGCTTAAATATGTACACTACTGTTCAAAGGTTTGGGGTCAGAACTTTTTTTATAATTAAAGGGGTCATATGATGCTATTTTAAAGATCATTATTTTGTGTATTTGGTGTAACAGAATATGTTGACGCTTTAATGTTCAAAAAACATATTATTTTTCAAATAATGTACATTATTGTAGGTCCTCGATCATTTTTAAACGAATCAAAAGTGACAGTTGAAGACATTTATAATGTTACAAAAGATTTCTATTTCAAATAAATGCTGTTATTTTGAACTTTCTATTCCCCAAAAAATCTAACAAAAACATTAAACCACACAACTATTTTCAAAATTGATAATATTAAGAAATATTTCTTGAGCAACAAATCAGCATATCAGAAAGATTTCTGAAGGATCGTGTGACACTGAAGACTTGACTAATGATGCTGAAAATTCAGCTTTGCATCACAGGAATAAATGACATTTTAAAATATACTCAAATATAAAACAGTTATTTTAAATTGTAATAATATTTCACAATATTATCGTTTTTATTAAATAAATGCAGTCTTGAAAAGCATAAGTGACTTCTTTCTAAAACATTCAGAACCTCTTTTGAACAGTATATTAAATGTCACTTAATGAGATTACATTGCATACTTAATAAGAACATTACTTTATGGTTGTAAAAATCACTTGAACATAATTATACTACATGTGAGGTTACTCTGCAAGGACACCTGTGTGAACTTGAGAACTGACTTCATACAGCTGCTAAAAATCACCAGCTGATTACAAGTAACTGCTCAGAAGAGTGAAGTTAGCTCTGACAAAAAAGCTCCAGCATCATTTGTTAGCTTTTAGCGCAGAGAAAAAAAAAAGGTATGTAGTGAAATGACATATGTAAGAGGTAGTGCATAAAGAATCTCGCCAAATTGTGGGATGGATATGTGTGCTTGTGAATTAAAGTCGTGCTGTGAGGAGGTGCCTGCGATCTCAGTGCCTGCGTTATTAATAGATGCCAGTGTGAAGCGGCTCGGACAACTGACTCACATGTGCCCAAAAAACAAGAGCCATCTTCTTCACAAAACCCATAAACAAATAAGCCCAGCCCTCCCATAAGTCATGTTAGTCGGTCAGTGGGTTTTCATATCAGCAGACCACATTCATTCATTCATGCAACGTAGCAGCCCACCATTCAGTTTGACCATCAGGCACTCACACGCTACCCAAAAAGCACTGCAAAAAAGCACTGCCGGCTCTCCTACCTGGTGGGCTGCGCTCTTCCCCAACGCCATTGCATGAAGGAATCAGGATTTCATTTTTGAATCCCAGGCTAGGTGGACTTTCTTCAGGAGAGGTGTCTGAAGAAGGGCTGGTGTCTCCCTCCAGAGCCTGGAGCTTCAGCAAAGAGCCCTGCAGGCAGAAGCAGAACATGCCAGCTTCAGTTTTCGGAGCGTAAGAGGAAGATCGCTTTGCACGCGTCGAGCGAAGAAGAAGGATGCCACTGCAGTCTCACACGCCCCTCTGCTCTGCCTCCATCAGCCCTGCTCACGATACACGCGTGTGTGTGTGTGTGTGTGTGTGTGTGTGTCCGAGGGTGTGCGTACGTGCACGAGTGAGGCTTGTGATCACGTCCTTCTCTGCTGCAGTTCTTTATCTGGCATGGATTATTCATGCCACTCTTTTAGTGGCGAAAAGGGAGCACGAGAGAGAGAGAGAGAAAAGAAGGGGGGTCTTCTGGCGTCAGCAAGCCCCTTAGCAGACTGGCTGAAGCTGGTTCCTCTGATAGGAGAACAGGTGTGGTTGGAGGAAGAGGGGCGGCGAGTGCATACGGACGGATGCGTAGGATACGTGGAGGAGGGAGGCGGTTATGAAGGCTTTTCCCGCATCTGGAGGTGGGGGGGGGAGGTTCTCACTGAGAGTATTGACATCATGGCCCCTCCCAGCATCCATTCATAAAATAGAAAATGCAGCTGCAGGCAGCAGAATCATGCAGCACTGTGATGTTACGGATGCATCTACACACTGATGTTAGAAATGTGCCGTCTATGTTTGTCAAAGGTATTGATATTCAAGGGCATTTTTTATCTTTTTGAGGACACATTTCACTTCTAACGTATAACACCGTGCCCATTTACACTCTTAAAAATAAAAGTTAAATAAATAAAGGTTCATTAGAAGATCCATTTTGGGTTCCGTAAAGAACCTTTTAATGAACAATTCTTAAAAGAACCATTTTTTTTCTAAAGTGAAGAACATTTTATAAATCAAAATAACCTTTTTATCCACTATAAAGAACCTTTTGTGAAATGGAAAGGTTCCATGACTGTTAAAGGTTCTTCATCGAACCATAGATGCCGATAAAGAACCTTTATTTTTAGAGGTATATGTCAAATAAATTTGATTGAACATTAAACAAAAAAAAATTAAAACGGTTCTTTATTGGCATCTATGGTTTTAATGAAGAACCTCTAACATTCATGGAACCTTTCCATTGCACAAAAGGTTCTTCACAGTGGAAAGATGATCAAATGTTCTTTATAGTAAGAAATAAAAATGTTTCTTTTAAGAACTGTTCACTGAAAGGTTCATTGGGGAACTGTTAACTGATGTTATGGATGCATATATGTACGTTTACTGATATCAAAAATGTGCCGTCTATATTTGTATATTTTTGAGGATGCATTTCGCTTCTAATGTATAACACCATGCCCATTTCACTCTTAAAAATAAAGGTTCAAAAAGGGCTTTTCACAGTGATTCCACAGAAGAACCATTTTGGGTTCTCTAAAGAACCTTTCAATTGACAGTTCTTAGAACCATTTTTGAATTTCTGAAGAACCTTTTAATAATCTAAAGAACCTTTTTCGACTATAAATAACATTTTGTGGAATGGAAAGGTTCCATGACTGTTAAAGTTTCTTCATGGAACCATAGAAGCCAGTAAAGAACCTTTATTTTTTGGTAGTGTGTGTCAAAAAAAAATTGGACTGAACATCTTAAAAATAACAGTTCTTTACTGGCCTCTATGGTTCCATGAAGAACCTTTAACATCCATGGAATCTTTCCATTCCACAAAAGTTTTTTTTTTTTTTTTTTACAGTAAGAAAAATGTTTCTTTTAAGAACTGTTCACTGAAAGGTTCATTGGGGAACCCAAGTTGGGTTGAAACAACCCAGCATTTTTAGAGTGTAATAAGCCTTTCTCGAACCTTTAATTTTTAGAGTGTAGGGGAAAATGGTTCACAGTTCACTGAAAGGTTCTTTGGGAAACCCAAAATGGTTCTTCTATGGCATCGCTGCAAAAACACCCTTTTGGAACCATTATTTTTAATATAGAATTGTGGTCAAAAGGATTAGATACTATGAAATTTTAGTCCTCACAATTTAAATATCTGGGGCATATTTGCCCTGAGCCCTCCCATCCTTCAATTCTCATCTTTCCTCATTTCACGGTTCGTCTGTCAGTATTGTGTGCTCACTGTAAATGAAAGTCTGTGGGTTAAGACATTGATGCACTGCTGCTCTCACAGAGGATGAGTCATCCCTCTCTCTTGCCCTCCCCTTTCTTCTCCCCCATCCATCTTTTCCCTGCTCATCCCCTCTTCTCCCGGGGGAATAGATTGCATGGTTGTGTGGAAAGGGTAACGCCCCCTTAAGCACCACTGACGCTCAAACTGACAGTCTTGGTGTGTGTGAGAAAGAAGGACTTATGTAAAGATCAAGCATGCTGATATCACTCACTGACCAATAAGAATATCATAATCAAAAGAACAATATCGCTGGAATGCAATCAGACATCAAAATGGACATCACTGACGTAATCGGATGTTTTACTTGAGCATCCTAATACAGCACAACAAGCAGCAATTTTTTCAGTGTCCTTAGAATTTGTTTTCTCATTCCTTTTTTCCATAGACATTAAAATTTCTTCAATAAAGAGTTTAACAAAATAAAGCCTTTAATCAAACCAACCAGCTTAGAGAAGAATCAAAACATTTATAACTCTAATTTAAGAAAATACTGGAAAATCTGACAAAGACTGTATACAGTATATTGACAACACAATGTTGTCAACTGTTTAAAGTGCTTTTTAAAATCAAATTACATAATATAGATATTAATTAATCAAATGAATCAAAAGTAATGATTTATATGAATATTTGCTAAGAAAACCTGAAGAAAATTTAATCCATACATTATTGTGTCAGACGAGTAGAGCATTGGACAATCAAGGCAAAATGTGCCTCAAAATGTGCCCAATATTAGTATTGTGATTTTGCAGTTGTAATATTTAAAAAAATTATTATTATATTATTTTTTAAATATTAGATTTTTTTTATTTTACAGTTACAATAGTTACAATAGAAATATTTCTTATTTTGTTCTCTAATCTATTTTTATTTAATAATAAATCATATAAATAATATAATAC